CTTGTCTATTTTCTGCAAAATTTGTATGACCATTTTGTAGTTCTTATTATAAATGCGTAACCCTAACTCTTCTCTAATTTCACACGTCATCGTTTGAGGCTTCGATGTAATTTTGAAAAGCGTTATACCCACTAAATTCGCAGTATGTAGTGAGATTACCTCGGCAGTTTTTTGAATCATTGATAGTTTAGTATTCTATCCAGCAGTTTTGCGAGCTGCACGGAATGCCCACCCAAATAGTGTATTAGTGGTCAAATGAGGACGGGAAGCAAATGTAAACAGTAAAAGCGCACGTTCCTTCGCGATTAGCGACGGTAGACTACTCGAATGTTCAACTGAACAAACATAATCTAAGGGACTTTCAAGCAACATTTGAAGCAACGGCAGAAAAATTTTACTAAATAACCATGTATTGCACTATACCTGTTTGTAATTAATAGCAATATAGGTGTTGCACCAAAACGGAAAATCATGAAAGAGTTTACGATGTGATTGTAGTGCGCATTATCAGAAAGCGGATGAAACCATAAGTAAAGCAAGATTCCCGATAACGTAAATACTTGAAAGGAGTGAAACAGCAGTGGAAGTTCGACGCGAGCACAATCGACCAACTGTTGCTGAAAAGTATACGTTGATATAGACTTGCATTTCGCGTAGAAATCCCCTTTTTCAAACGATTTTGCAGAACAAACGTTGTAAATGGCTAAGTTTTGAAGTGCCCGTGACATACATTGTGCAGTATTAATAACATGATTATGAGGTAGATCATGAGAGTTGCAAAGTACACAGTTTCGCCGAAGTATAAGTCCATGGGACGCATACAGATGGGAGTAAAAGATTGATCTGTAAGAAACTCAAGATTATGAAATGTCAACTACGGCTACAAGGCTGCCTATCAAGTACTTTAGTTTGCCAGCTTCGAATTCCAAGTAATCGAATAAAAGTGATCTCAAATGTGTGTTTAGGAAAAAGTGGAGCACAAATCTTCCAACCCTTTGGGGACCGCCATTGACAGCAGACGGCATCGCGGTGATTTGCTCGCGTGACAGTCGCAGGCAGGCAGCATCTGTGAGTCCATTGTTCTTGCAGAAGCTGCTTTCTTGTCTTGTTCCAACAGGCAACGCCGCCAGTACATTAGCTGAGTGAGATGCGACGACGCGCGGCGTGTTACCTTTCTTGTGCGTGTGGTACGTGCTTCCCAATGGGTTAAAGGTTATATTGTAGTTACTGGATATAGAGGCTTTACGTCACACTAATCATGATTTAGCAATAATTTTATCGAACTCACTTGTGTAATAAAACGATGGAACAGATGGGTCCCATAGCATATGAATCTCTCCAGAAAGGCAATTAGCAAGGTTCAAAACACCAAAGAAGCAGCACAGAAATAATGTTATCTGCAAGAAGATAAGATCGTCTATGAACAGCATTCTTGAAATTTTGAAAAAAATAAAGTAAATTCAATATAGCGGTTTCTGTGCTAAAATACCGTCATTTTCTTTCTATCAAATATCGCATCTAACTTCGATGGGAAAACCACTGCGACGAGCCGATTCACAGAGAGGATGAAGAGTGTTGGGAATTCGATTGCGTAGGATGCTTGGAAAAGTGCACCCAACAGCTAAATTATCTCCATTGAAAGAAAGATTTTATTAAAGGTAAAGATATCTATTTTTGAAACAGATGGCATTTCTTGTTTTTTTCTCATCGCCCTTTTCAAGGTATCGCCTTGCAAAGGTGAAAATAGTATCAAACAACAAGTCTAGCTGTGAGCAGATTCGACTGCTTAAGGTACAACATTTCGAGTACAAAGACTAGTCAACAACGTTTTCCTCAAAAGATAGTCTTTCATTGTCAGACTTAAGTGTGAAAAAGAAATGTGGCGAGTCTAAGCAGTGTATAACGTTTTCCACAACTTCAAGACTGAGAACTTTGTCATGAACTCAAGCTGAAGTACAGGAGTTCCTGCTCACCATACTCATCGTTTGATGGATGGCAGGAGTACGGAGAGTGATGGCCACCGCAGCTACTTGAACTCCACAATTCACAACATCGGCTGCGGAGCCGAGGTAAATGATTTGATAGGCCGAAAGAGCCCATAGAGATTTGGATCGTTGAATAACCTAAGCAAAAGAGGTTACGGGGAAGAATTACACGAAGAAATTATGAAAATTTTGTGCAACTTTCGTATTTTTTACAATCGATTGAATGTTGTGACCACTTTGTGCCACGATGAAAACAAATAGAAAACATTAGGGTATCGATGTGGCACGAATACTCTTACCAGCATCATTTGCAAATTCAGTAGCACGAGAGTAGAGCCCAAAAATATATAGAAGATAAAAAAATGGTCATGAAACGGATATTTGTAGTCATTCATAATGTTTTCTGAAATGCAGTGTTCTATTTGACTGCTTCCAATCCAAATGCTCGCAAATTATACAGAAGTCTCCTTCACTAACTAACACCACAAATCTTTGTTCGCGAAATTACAATACTTCAACATCTATTTACTACTTGATCTTCTTCATGACATGATATATTCTGAAATACAATCACAAGAATGCGAGATACTGACAAAGCTTAGTACCTCTGTTGAACTTCTACTCTGTTAGTTAAACTGTGTTGGCGCTTACATTTCAGAATTTAGCTATAATCCAATAGGGCACCGAGGCCCTTATTTCGCTATGCTTTTACCCGTGTTTTAACTTTATCGATGCTTCTAGAGGATATGTGGAAATCCACCTCATTGACTGCTTGTAATAAACATTCAGTATAGTCTGTGGTAATGTTTAGAGCCTTACTGAGGTTGATAGGTTAGAGCCATACGTATGTTTCGGAAGTGTCGGTTTCTTCATCAGTGGTCCATGCCCCACATTGAGCGCGAACTGTAATCGCTACTAATCGTAATTTAACGACTGAGAAAGTGATGATAACATATTGCCGTGTTTATCACCATAAGCAATGTCTCCGCATCCCTGCTACAAGGTAGAGTTCAGTGTGGGGCGTCTGCCACTGATGAAGAGGGCGAACCTTGGAAACGTAAAGTGATATCACCTTCACTACCATTATTATAACTAGAAAAAATTGAAAAAAGTCTAAGATACTTAAAAAACGGGTTTTGAAAAGATTTCAGGCTGCAACAGACGACAGCGAGATTTCTTCTAATTCTAGTCTATTTCGAAATATGTTGAAAATGACGTGAAAAGTTTTGGCCTTTTGATGTCTCGCTGATAAAAAGTGTTGAATGACATCAAGATCGTCACAGATCAAACATCATGTGGGATAGTGGATAAGCCTACCGATGTGGACAAACTCTGAGGGATGTATTGGACTTTAATATAAATTTGAGAGAATGAACAACTGACCTTTACGATAACTTGCGATAGCCTAACGATGTATTCAGTCATTGCTTTTATCTTTACGTACAAATCCGCTGCCAAATCAGTGACATTTGTGAAATAGACAGCGAATTTAACTCTAGGTGCTGAGTCAAAACTCAATCGATAACTTGTGTATTGTAGGCCATCTCTAATAACTGCCTCTTTTCTTAGCATAGTAATAATGAAAGAATTATGATTTCTTTAGCTCTCAGAGCGTATATATACTAATCAATCTATTCAAAAGTCGAAAAGCTTCCATCATAACCTTTGAATAAACTATCTTGAGACCTTGTTTAAAAGTCATTGTAATCTGAAAGAACGTTTTAAGCCTTCAAGAGGTCTACATTTCAGAGGTGAGGCATCTCTAGTATAGTCCTTTTCAAGTATTCAAATGAAGAAGAAAGCCTCACAGAATTGGTACATCAGTAAGACCAGTGCTAAGTACGATTTTGGGCAGTGTTTCCTAAAAAGTCATATAGAGTATTAGGTATTAGTTATTTTCGTTTTTCTCGATATGCTTCAAATTTTTGTACAGCTTCTGGTATTGATGACAGGATAAGACGTGAAATAGAGTCACGATAATGCTGAGATGTAGCAAACCTCAGAACCACATGGGGCTTTGAACCCACGATTACCCTTTCACAAGGACTACAGCTAAAGTGAGTTAAATGTCTCCGCCAGTATCAAGCCTCATGTTCAAGATATTTGCTTAATAATCAGTCTTCAATTTCTGGGAATTTGTTGCATTTCAGTAAAAGTAGAATCGTCTTAAAGGACATGGTTAATGACTTTCCTACTGTACCATTTATTGCCAGCTTTGAAGGGAGTAGAAATGAAATGTGGCAATGCAATCCCGTAAGATCACAGATATGAATACGAAATAACCTAATTTTGTAGGCAAGTCGATACAGAAAGTAAAAAAAAATCATTCTTTACATCATGAACGACAGCCTCTAAAAAGATGTAGCAGTTGATTTAAACATAATTTCCTTCGTTTAGATATAAGAGCTTAATCTGAAAACGACCACAAATGAGCTCATATGGGCAAAGGACAGATTCATAACGTTAAGCTTTTGATGGAAGGAGAACAAAGCTTCCCATTATGGCATTAGTAGTATGAGATTATCGTTGCTGTGGAAGATACAAATTTCCCTCCCAACATTTGACTGAACTTTCAGAACATCATTCAGAAAAATAAAAATTTTATGCTTCTGAAATGATATAGTTGATGAGCTGTGTTATAATCATTTTCACACTATGTTCTAGCCTGAAGATATGACTATAAGAGTTTCTTTAGCGACTCGAATTAGTTGTCACCTTCATTGGGTAACTGCGGCATTGAAATCCGAAAATTCCAGTGCACTCGCAACTTATATTTTTTCACTAACGGATATGCATTATTATTGTTATTATTGTCACTACTTTATTATTACCGTTATAACTATTATTATTAACTATTATTAATATTATACATTATTGTTAATTATACTGGTATTACTTACTTATAACTTATTGATATTAGTATTACACCGAAATTCTAATATTTTTACTGCATTTTTTTGCAGTGTTATGATGTTACTTATATACCTAAGAGAATTGAGTGGTGAGCAAAAACACGGCCTCAGGCGGAAATCGCACCCGCGTTTCATCCTATCCGGAGACGCGTGCTCTACCGTTACACCACAGAGGAACATTTGCCCGACCTCTCGTTCTTCAACATCTCTGTATTAGCTATCAGCCACCAACCTTTGAGAGGTTTGATCGGGTATGCGATGTCGCTATATAAACTCAGTTGAGCTGACAGCCTTTGTTAGATATAACACTCCCAAACTCTCAAAATTTTTGCTCACCACTTAGTTATCTTAAGTACTGCAATGCTGCGAAAAATGGCAGTGAAAATATTAGAATTTTGGAGTAATTATACCTAATAGTGGCTGTCAGCTCAACTGCGTTTATAAAGCGAAATAGCATACTCGACCAAACGTGTTGAAGGTTGGTGGCCGATAGCTAACTTAGAGATGCTGAAGAATGAGTGGTCGGGTATATGTCTTGGTGGTGTAGCCCCCGAATATGATGAAACGCGGGTTCGATTCTCGCTTGAGACCGTTTTTTGCTCACCAGCCAGTTCTCTTAGGTATATCAATATTACCGTTACTATTGCCACTGTCACTGCTATTATTATTGTTATCATTGTTGTCTTGTCTTATGAAGTGTCACTTCATAATTCAACACACTCACTATCAAAATTTATTTTGCGGGCCTGTGTAAGCCATGAAATTGTCTTTGATCTGAACACAACAATGGCGTAATTCTTTGATTCGAAATAAATTCGAACAGCTGAAGACCCATAGGGTTGAGAATATTTTCAACTTATAGAAAACGATGCGCCTTGTACATCTAAAAGTAGAACGTTTTGAACATGCAATGCAGTTTATTATTTTTCACTTCCCAAACATTTCGCTTTAGAATTTGAAAAGGTTTCGTAATCAATTTCTAGCGTACTTTGGTAATATTAGTTGCACAATACCCGTCGATTTACTAATTGAAACTTAGATTATTGTTACTTGAATACTTGTGTACTTTAATAACTCACCTTCACGATCAGTATCATGACGAAAAAAATGCGTTAGGTTTGCAGGTGTGACAGAGTCATGTGTATTCAAAAACTTTGAGGGTTGTTTAGAGAAAAGAATGTATTTCACCTTTACAATACAAATATGCAGACAATGTTTTCAAGTTGCACCCGCATTGCCTGAAACTTGAATTTTGACCTATTCGCTGTTGATGAGACTCAACGAGCTGAATTTGATGGATGATAAAAGACAAATGTGTGCCATTAACTGATAGACGAACACACTGCTGGGTGAGAACTCAATTTGGAGAAAACCCGTCTGTTAATAATGCACACTAAAAAAAGAAAAGGGATTCCAAAATAGGTTATTATGCAGATGCAAAAGAGGGGATAGCGATAGGGAACCGCAAAGAAGAATTGTGAGGACTTTTCCCTAGTCTACTGATCATGATTGAGCCGAGAGCATAGAAACTGAAGATATTCTAGTGATCAAAGGACAAAAGGTTAAAGCTCTTGGAGCTGATTAACTCCTAAAAATTGCGCCATGCATTCATCTTCATTTTCTAAAGTCGCTTGAGGTGATTAGATTGACATCGGGCCGTGACAAAAACTCGCGGTGGTCTACCGATTTATCAAGGCAGTGCTGCTAATCCTCTAGACAAGTCTGGGACCAGTCTGGTACCAGTTTACCAACCCCGGAGTAACGGATGGTTCGTAAGCTATGAGAGTGAGATCAAACCATCGACTTTGTGCGTAACGCAAAGCACCTCCAACCATTGCGCCACAAGCGCTGTTTTTCTAATGAATACATATTCAGTATTGTTGAATGATATGCAAAATTTTCGAATCTGAGGAGAGAGCTGACCATGCGTTTTGCCCTTTCCAAGGCGTAAAGAGTGTGGAACGGGAGTTCATGTCCTGCCCAAAGTTCAAATTTGCATATCACTCAACATTGTTGCGCAGGTAATTGTAGCATCATATCACTATTAAAGAACAGTCTAAATAAAATTATTATTGCTATAGTGATTGTTCCGAATAATATAAAGATATCGCGACCGTGTTTGGACTTGTACTAACTGCGTTTCCCGTTGATATTTAAGTGGATCGAGCGGACACTACTGGAACTTCAAATTCTCATTATGTGTAAGAGTAGCCATTGAGTCCTCTCTTTCCTAGCATTGCTGAGCATCATATCTTTCTTCTAGGCCTTCGTGAAGAAATCGGACCATCGAGTTGGCGGATTTTTAGTGGTGTGCTTTACATCCTAGGAAATCCATCTGGTCACAGTTGTCGTCGATCGGTAGCCCGGAGTGTATAACAGTAATCTTGAATTTCGATCACTAACGTTGGTCAGAAAATCAGATATTTCCGCTCTTTTGCTAAATACGGGATACATCTAGCATCGATTATCTATTGCGCGCTCGATAACGTTAGGTGACTCCTTTCGATGCCCTTAACGGTTGTCCAAGACGTTTGTCTCCTCCTGCTCAGCTCTGAACTGAGGTTGTTCATCATACATACTTTCCGACCTCGATAAATGTTACTGGAGCATTCTAAGATAATCATTTTGTTGAGCGTGAATGGAGCATTCGGAACCAATCCGTTCCTCATAAACAAGAATCCCAGGGATTGAGAACCGATCTTTTCACGTGCATTGCCGAAATCGCTCAACATGTGTCACGCATGGTTGATGCTTGGTGTTCAACAACAGCGTCATTACTGGAGGGAGGACGGGTGTATTGTCGACCGTCGATTTTACTCCCATATTGCCACATTCCATTGTTCGTATGACGTGACATGCCTGAGATGCGACAGGTGGTATCACTTTGCCGAGCTCCACTTCCTACGTTGATAGGAATATCGTTAATTATAGTGACATTTTATTAAATTTCCATACAGTTAACGAAGAATCTTCATCAAGTAAGGATGCTTTAGCTATCTAGAAATCCTACTTATTCGAAGGTCTTCTTCAAATTGATGATGACGAGATAAAGAGATCTTTGGTCTTATTCGAAGGTCTTCTTCAAATTATTCGAAGGTCTTCTTCAAATTGATGATGACGAGATAAAGAGATCTTTGGTATTCCGCGAAATTTTAGTTAGTCTTGTTATCGTGTGGATATGCTCTATCGTACTAAACTCTTTTTTAAGCCATTCTGGTTCGCATGACCGTCCTTCGTTTTGTGCCCTTCCAATCCCATATGAGATTATTATAGTGGAACTATTTTAGACGGCAGGGTGCAAGCGATTGGGCGATATTCTCTGATGATGTGGAGCCCTCCGTTTTCTAACAATAATAAGGTCTTGCTGATTTTCCGTTGACTACAATATTCGCAATCCACTTTCTTTTCCTCTCGTAGGAATGAGGAATTTCTGTATCTCTACTATACAGTCGTTTCATTCGATTATTGTGATTAATCAAGCGAGCTCTAAATGAAAAAAGAGCAATCAGCATTGTTTTCAAAACCGCTTTACCTTGAACCTCGGCGTTACCAATCAATAGCAGTTTCTATCATGACTTAGCTAAAGACAAAGTTGATAAATAAACTGTACTCGCTTGTTCGCATTATGCTCCTCATCATTGTTATTGTTCGAATTGAAATTTCTTTGGTGGGCCATGGCTTAAATAAAGAAACACACTCTGCTGATTTCCTTACATACTGGGCGGTTGTCAATAATTATTCACTGAGAGGCCGAAACCTCCGAAACACCGGTGTATGACCCTGGCGTACCAATCTCGTTTAGGCTTAAAGCATCCTTTTCTTGGAATTATTCACTGACAGTTTTTGTTTTATTTTTATGTTACTGTGCTGCATTACTGTAACACTGCTCTATTATTGTATTGTTGTAATGTATCGTTTTGTAATAGGCTGATGGTTCGATCTCGCACTCTTGGCTCACCAAGCCATCCACCCTTCTGAATTCGTTAAATTGGTAACTAGATTGGTTTCTGGTTTGCCTGGGAGGATAAGCAGCACTGACTCGGATGACAGCAGCGAGAGGCCACCGAGAGTCATGTAAAGACCAGGTATGCATTCAATCACCTCAATTGAAGTTAAAAATTAAAGGCGAATGCATGGCGCATAGCTCAGGGATTGATCAATGCCGAAAGCTTCATCCTTTTATCCTTTTTATCATATTGTATCGTATTGTGATGCACTATGCTATATTATTATATATGTTACCACTAAGCTTATATACTGATATATTATATATGCCTAGTAGCTATTTTTGAGTCATGCATGTGGTCTCTTGTGGGCACTTGTACAGTGAATTACACGTGTTTCGGCCTTGCAGCCTCGTCAGTTGCACGGCGCTATTCGTCTTTAGCCAATCCCTCTTGAGGGTCTACACGGATAGGCTCGGTGTTGGCTGATAATGATGCCGACCATTGGAGGATAGATTGTCTAAAGAACAAATATTCATCGACGAGTATATAAATTGATTTGGGCAAAAAAAATTAACAAAATGCTTGAAAATTTCATTTTTCGACATCTTCGTGTCTTTTTATTTATAGTTTTGCATATATTTACCTAGTTCTTGAATTTATCCTCCAAATTGCCTACTGGACAGCATGGTTTTTGCATGTTGATCCGCCTTTATTAGAGGAGAGGTTCAACTATACATGAAGCCCTCGACGAGATTAATGAGAATGAAGGTGGTGGTATCACCACCTGTCGTCCCGTTGATCGTCGAGTGACTCGAGCGGGTACCAGCAACTCTTCCATTTTTCCCTATCGCGTGCAAGAGTAGCCCAGTGGGTCCTCCTTGCTCTAGGAATTCGCTGAGCATCATATCTTTCTTCCATCGCTTTCGTGAAGAAATCGGACCAACGGGTCAGTGGTCTTCCTTTAGAGCGCTTGACGTCCCGAGGAATCCAGTCGGTAACGGCTCTCGTCCATCGGTTGTCGTTGAAGCGCATCACGTGTCCGGCCCACCTTATTTTCGATATCCTGGCGTGTAGAACGGCGTCTCTGATTTTCGATCGTTGACGTAGGTCGGAAGTTCGGATCATTTGTCTCATTTGCGAAATACGAGATACTCCTAGCATCGACCTTTCGACTGCGCGTTCGATAACGGCAAGTGATCTTTCATCCTGCTTATGTAGCGACCAGGTTT